CCTGCCTCAGGAGACCTCTGGCTCCAGGGCTCCAGCCAATGTGATCTTCCCCCTCCATGGTCACAGGTGAGATACAGGGAGGGGGGAATAAAACATTACTATTAATGAATGGAAAAAAAAAACTGTAGGCTTTTCCCCCCACATTTTGCAGCCCCCTACATTTACACACACTATTCACTAACATTTACACACACTATTCACTAACATTTACATTCAGGTACCCTTGATAAAGGCAGCCAGTTGGTGCCGAAACGTTGGGGGGTTTGGTGACTCGTGTTTCTGTCTTGAGGCTTGTAAGAATCTTTTTGGTATTTTACCATTACATTATTGTATTTGCCCTTGCTTCTGTCGTGTTTATTTTTCTTGTATGTTTTCACTTCACTTTTCGTACATAATAAAGCTAAGTTTTTTGAGATTGTTATAGTGTGCATTCTATATTCTATAGACACACACTATACACTAACATTTACACACACTATACACTAACATTTATACAAACTATACACTAACATTTACACACACTATTCACTAACATTTACACAAACTATAAACTAACAAATACACACACTATTCACTAAAATGTACACACACTAAATCCTTACACAAACATACACTCTGCAGTCACTGCATACACTACATCCACTACACAAACACACACTCTGCAGTTACTACACACACTACATCCTTACACAAACACACACTCTGCAGTCACTACACAAACACACTACATCCACTACACAAACACACACTCTGCAGTCACTACACACTACATCCTTACACAAACACACACTCTGCAGTCACTACACACACTACTTCCTAACACAAACACACACTCTGCAGCACATACACAAACACACACACACACTTTGCAGTCACTACACACACTACATCCACTACACAAACACACAGTCTGCAGTCACTATACACACATTAAATACTTACACAAACACACTATGTAGTCACTATACACACACTACATCGACTACACAAAGACACACTCTGCATCCACACACTGTATTCACTAAACACTACATCCACTACACACACACTACATCCACTACACAAACACACACTCTGCATTCACTATACACATCGCATTTAATACACACAAACACTACATCCACTACACAAACACACATACACACTCTGCTTTCACTATAAACACACACTAATCTATGCCAGCCCCATAAGTCATTGCGCCATATATTGTCGCATGTAATATGTAAGGCTATGTCTTGCCACCCTAGAAGAGAGAGCGAGAGATATTTTTCCAATATAAAATATTGGTCCTTTCAGAGTAAAATTTTTAATTATACAGAAAGCATACTCACATGCAGACACAGACAATCTCACTGACACAAGCTGATTGATACACAGCATCATAGACAAACAATCTCATTGATATACATAAGGTCATTGACATAAAAACACAAGCTCACTCAGTAGCAGGCACACACACACACACACACACACACAAGCAAGCCCACTCATTAGCAGGCACGCACACACACACAGTTTAATGTAGTGGCTCTGGTGTCTATAGCCTGTCCCTGCAGGCTTTTCAATGTAAACACTGACTTTTTAGAGAAAAGGCAGTGTTTACATTGCTTCCTAGTGACAGACACTCAGACGGTCACTAGAGGTGCTTCCTGTGTCAGTGCGGATTGGCTGAGATCATCAAGCCCTGGCATTAGGGGGACTTCCTGAGAGCTCAGACAATCCCCATGCAGGAACTGCATAAGCCGGCTATTCCGGCCATGTGATCGCAAGGACTCTGCGATCACAAGGCTGCGGGGGGGCGGATCGGGCAGACGGGGTCTGCCTGAGCTCATATGCAGAAACCAGGATCACGATCATCACCAGAGGAACGACGGGGACCCAGTAAGTACAAAGGACGGCGGGGACATTCTATGCTGCCCGCTGGTGTTTAGGACCGCCCCAAAAAGGACTGCAAAGAACGCCCGCCGTCCTCAAGGGGTTAAGAGAGCTGTGCATACAAATGCTAGCAACACTCGAACAATTGGAATAAAGTTGTAAAGAAGAGTGGGTTAAAATTCCCCCACAACGAAGTTAGAGACTGATAAAGTCATACAAAAATCTGTTACTTCACGTTATAGCTGCTAAAGATAGTTCTAAAAGCTATTGAATCAAAGACAGAAAAGGCGTACTTTATTTTAAAACATTGCTTCTCCATTTTGACATTATTTTTGTTAAATAAATTTTGATGCTGTGTAATATGTCATGGACTCATGTTGTTCTCCGTCTAAAATTGTATTTACCACTGGTGTATGTACGCCCAGGGCCAGCCTCTTCCCCTGGGGGGCCCAGGAGCCGACCACCCCAGGGCCCCCCTGAGGCTGGTTCTGTGCTGGATAGGAAGGAAATGTAGTGGAGCGCAGTGAAGCACTGTGCTGTTCCCTCGCTACAAGACCGGCACGTGATACCGGAGCCGGAAGACGCTATCTTCCGGCGCCGGCATCCCTACGCCGGGCGCTGCTGTAGGGAGCTTTCAGGAAGTAGGGAAGCAGTGAGTGCCTCAGACGCCTCGCTTCGCCTGCCCGACCGCCACCCGCCCAGGAGCCCCACTGGACCCCAGGGAATCCCCCCAGCACTCCAAGAGGTAAGGAGGCTGGGGGGATTATATTAAAAAAAAAAAAAAATCATGTGTGTGTGTGTTAGTGTGAGTGTTAGAGTGAGTGTTAGAGTGAGTGTTAGTGTGTGTGAGTGTTAGTGTGTGTGAGTGTTAGTGTGAGTGTTAGAGTGAGTGTTAGAGTGTGTCTGCTAGTGAGTGTTAGTGTGTGTGTCTGCTAGTGAGTGTCAGTGAGTGTGTTACTGTGTGTGTCTTACTGAGTGTGTGTGTGCTAGTGAGTCTGTTTGATGTCTGTTAGTGAGTGTGTGTTTGTCAATGAGAGTGTATGTTTTGTGAGTGTGTATATATGTCTGTCGCTGACTGTGTCTCTGTCAGTAAATGTGTGTGTCTGTTAGCTAGTGTGTATGCGTCTGTAAGTGTGTGTGTGTGTGTGTGTGTGTGTGTCTTCAGCACTTACCTTTCCCCAGCGCCGGACTCCCTTGGCGC